CGCCCACGACAAAGCAAAGCGACGTTACTCCTACCTTTCCCAAACTTTTCGTCACCTTATCTGCACCAACTGCGTATCCGGCACCTGTGTCCACAATTTTGCTATAAAAGTAATAAAAGTTTTGTAAGAGTAAAACAGAATGGATATTTTCTATATCGTGGGGGAAATGCAAAACACTGTTGGATTTATTCAATCGCTCATTGAGAAAACTTCGTAAATATCTTCCTATATTAACGTTGCGTATCTGCAAGGGAAAACCTCTCTCTGTGTGTGTGAAAAAACACTGTGAGATTTGTTACATAAGTTTGAAATTATGTTAACGAAAAGTATGCGACATACAATTCTTTCAATATATTGCTATGAAACTAGTGCAATTTGCAACTTCTTTTTCTCCCTAATGTATTATTAAAAAATGAAATTGAAAGATCTATGTTTTGATATACAAATTGTTTTCTTTGAACAAGTTTATTACGTATGCTAACTGGTTGTCTCTGTCTAGTACACTATAGATTTAAGTATTCTTGCATACGTAGAATAGAGAATAATATGATCGATCAATAATAGCTATTATTTATCTCACATGTTTTATAGATAATATATTAAAAAAGATCCGAAAACATTTTTAATCAGTGTAAACTTAAGCGTTTTTCAATATCTACAATTATTTTATTGCGAGGTATAGATTATCGCAAAGGTTTTTTAATTTTCTTAATAAGAAACATATTCGCGGATACATTTGATTTGTGCTCGAAAAAATTGAACCATAAGTGAATAGAAATCTTCCATTATATTAGTAATAATTGCCAATTGCTTAAAATGTGTAAATATAAGTAAGAAAAATAGAAAAATTCTTTATTGTATCTCACAATGAATAATATTTCTCTATTCATTAAGATATCTATAACTATACAATAAATTTTGACATAGTGAAAATTAATCCAATTAAAGTATATAGAAAAAAAATTGTTTTATGGCGACTGCTTATTTGAAAGAGACAATGTAAAATATAATTTTATATATAATAAGTAAAATTAACGATTGTAACAAGAATTGAACATACGCAAAAAAAAAGTTAAATTTGCATATATTGCACACCATGTAATTAAATGAATAGAGAAATAATAGAAACAATATGTTTGTAATAAAACGGTGGCAAAGGAATATAGTATATATATTAATAGAAATATCTAACATAATTATCGTAATGCCTTGGCTCAATAAATTAATATTAATATTGATATAATCAGCTTAATAAAATGTCAGTGGTTTATACCTAACGTACGTTGCAATTAACGTAATGGTATCTAATGTGAGAAAAAGTACAACCAGTTAGTGTATGAGCATACATAAAATAAAATGGGAATATTGCATTAATGATACTTTTTTTAAAAATAATTATTACAACAGAGAGGTTTTGTAATTTAAGGACACGGGAATAAGTTATTAATTAAAACAATTGTAGATAATCTGCAATAATAAAGAAATTATTATTAAGAGTTTGGAATATATAAAATAATTATTCTATTGTTAAACAAATATATAAAATGAGGCTCAAAAGAATCTGTCACTGAAAAATGTAAAAAAGCCCATCAGAGCCTACATCAGCTGTTCGGATGCACAGAAAATTCTTTATTTTCATGTGAATGTAACGAAACGAAAAAAATATACGTTTCAACCTTTCAATTCGGGTTCCTTATCAATATCAAATATAAATCGAAATTACATAAATAACGCAAATTCCAAGTCGATGATTCCCGACAATTTAGTTCGTTTTTCTTTATCCAAATGCCAAATTAGCTATGTAATAAATTTCCATTCATGTAATGAATAGCCCAATGATTATCAAAAATATTAATTTATACATAATATAAAAATTTACATAAAGTAAAACCAAAGTCATATACATTGTGTCACTGAGTAGAATCACATCGCTCATCAGATTGTCAAATTTGTTGTGTAATCAATTCAAAAGAAATCAATTTTATATATAAATGTCTGTATGAGATAGCTTACTATCCTGTATGAGGAACGTTTTTATGACTCCCTGATGAATCGCCTAAGATTATTAATCCCTTTATATGCCATGTGTATTAAAATCTTTTTTAAAAAATTTTTTGATCTTTTCTGATAAAAGTGGAAGCGATCCATATAAAGCAACAGAAACAGAGTTTGAATTTACAGAATGACATATTTCTTTTACATTTCCCACTATACATGAATTTGTTTACGGAATTGTGATATTGATTTTACGTCTCTTTTGTTCTTATTTTTATTTTTATTTTTATTTCAATAAAATGCTTGCCTTTATTATTTTCTCATTGTATCTCTGATTGCCGATACCATAAAATCTTTACGTCGAGTCGCGAGAAAACGCTTACATGTAAGTTGATATAAAAAATTCAGACAAATGATTTTAATAATTCTTTAATTTTTCGTATTTCTTTTGAATGACTACACAGCAAATTTGACAATTTAATGAGCGATGTGATTCTACTCAGTGACGCAATGTATATAACTTCGGTTTTGGCGCATTAATAGCGCATTTGGATAAAGAAAAACGAACTAAATTGTCGGAAACTTGGAATTTGCGTTATTTATATAATTTTGATTTATATTTGATATTGATAAGGATCCGAATTGAAAGGTTGAAATGTATATTTTTTTCGTTTTGTTACGTTTATACAAAAATAAAGAATTTTCTGTGCATCTTGATGTAGGCTCTGATGAGCTTTTTTACATTTTTCACTGATTATTCTATTGTATCACGTTGTGCCAGTGCGGTACGATAAATTTTTTCCAAAAGCTATCGTGGAATAATTAACGTACATAAATTACTAATTAAGAGTAAAAAAAAATTAAATACCACTGTATGTACATTTGATTGAGCAATTAATCACGTATTTCATGTATGTTAATGCTCTCTTTTATGTTTGTTTAATTATTGCTTTACTAAAATATATTAACATACACGATAAAATTTACAAAGTAAAATTTCATTTTAATTAAACTTCTATATTACTGATTAGTAATAGAATAAGGAAGTTATATAATATAACGATAAAGTACTAACCGAAGAAAAATGATTTTTTTTTTATAAGCATACATATAAGCTTAAATAGTGTCATTTTATATTCCTGTTACAAGGTGTATTAATGTCCTTGTCAACATTAACTCGGTGCTAAAATGGATATAAAGAATCTCGTTAGGACATTTTAGAAGGAAAGGAGTGGCTTATCGGTGCTTCTACTTTTCATGATATTAATAGTTTAGATAATTTTAGACCGCTTTTATGAACGCTTCATAATGTATATACCTCATTGCTTCACATGTCATGTGGAATATTTTGAAGAAATAAAGCCTTTAAGAGAGAAAAGAAAAATCGAGAAAAAGCTATATCGTTTTCATCGATGCGTCGTACTTACTTCAAAGTAACTGCGTCTGAATTTGAATTCAAAATTACATTTTATTGTATCTTAATATGGACTAGCATATACCATATACACATTCAATAGCTCACTTATAGTTTATAACTTATTATACACTCACAAACATTGATAAAGACAGTCATGATATCTTGTAGCATGTTTCATGACTGGTGAAGCTACAGCGCAAGCTCTATATATGTGTGTAAGATATAATTATTTTTATTTATCATGAATGGCTGAGTTCTTTCTCTCAATTACTTCATAACGATTCTGATTCTGACTGCAATTTTGGAATTTTTTTCTACCATTCATACTGACTTTGCACGATCATCATTTTTCATTTTGTAAGGCTCGATGATGCAAAACATGCTTTGTCATCAGCGAAATATTCCATAAATTAGACATTCGCTAATCTCCTCGTTAAAAAGAACGAGTGTTGACGTAAATGTCTTGTAACGCTTGGAAATAATTACACGACGAACTTTTATTTCAACAAACTGTATGCTTATTTAAATTTATAAACGGAACAAGTTTACTTTGCATTCGTTCATATATAATATAATTTATCAACAATCGTAGAAAATCTAAAAAGAATTCTATAGAAAACGAATTTAGAATGAAGAAGATTAATAGAATATCAACAAATAATATCAAATGAGCTTATATTAACTCCTACTAAAGGGGGTCACTAGTTACCGAGCGATTCCTGTTCGTGCAAGTTTCTTTGCATCTTTCGGTAATTATAAATTATACTACATTTTATTATTTTCCAAAATGAAGCGCCAATAGTTATTCTAGAAAGTTGAAAGTATGTTGGTGAATTTTTAGAGATTTTTTTAATCATTTTGAATAAGTGAAAAAAACGGACTGATTCTAGTTGCCCCCGTTAATATGGATGAGGCACCAAATTATAGGTACCTAGTAGGGTAAAGGTTAATTTAAGCTCGTAAATACATTTAATTTAATAAGCCATACTTTAATAACTTATTAAGTTATTAAGATAAAAAAAAATCTATTGTCTTTTTAATATAAAATTTGAGTCAACAAACGAAGACTGTATAATAATGACGATTTAATAATATTAGATTTCATCTCTAATGAACATACAAGTAATGACCACGCAAGGTCAGGTTGACAGTATAAGAATTGCAGATGTCATTATTAAAATGTGGCTAGACACATTCAGTCAGGGTGGCTTGCGATGGCTGAGTATTAATTTATAATGTATATATATATATATTTTTCTTTATTTATATTTATATATATATATATATATATATATATATATATATATATAAATATAAATAAAGAAAAATATATATATATATACATTATAAATTAATACTCAGCCATCGCAAGCCACCCTGACTGAATGTGTCTAGCCACATTTTAATAATGACATCTGCAATTCTTATACTGTCAACCTGACCTTGCGTGGTCATTACTTGCATGTCCACATTGATATATCGGTTCCCCATGATATGCAATATCGTAATATACTTCGCTATACCTTCCTCAATGAAGTAATGGAGAATTATTTATATATTTATATATATTATATATATTTTGTATGTGATATTTCTCACGTAACTATCCTCATGAGACTTGCTGTGCGCAACAATTTACAGCACTGTGCCTTACTTCCGCTTTTACATCATTAAGTCAATCTAGACAACAAAAAAATTGTATATACATATTCTTTATCCACGCGTCTCACAGAGAATTGTCCCATAGGAAATATCACGTCTATGGCAAATAAGAGATCTTTGAAAATATCAGTATAATTGAAGAATTGACTTAAATTCAGATACAAAGAATTCATGTCCATTATGTATACAAAGCCAAAAGATGCCCATAACACTTCTGAAATTAAATTTTAGTTTATTTGTTATAAAACTATCGTTTCTCATTATTTAAACAAATTTACGTACGACTTTTTACAATACTTATGTGTGAACATAAATTCTATGATTGAACGGGCAGTTTAAAAAAAAAAGTTCATGGTTTTTTTTTGGAGAGCGTATTCATTAAGTGAAAAATGTTTAATTAACATGCCTCGCAATTTTGATTATTTTATAAATAGAAACAATTCTCGATTTGAATGTCGAGCGTAACCTAATTTCTTCGAAAAGATAATGTTTTTATGTTTATTACATATATTTTGCATAATATTTATTTAAATATCCTACTTAATCCTATGAACGCTTTCTCTTTAAATGCCCTGTATCTGAATGATGTCAGAAGTGAAGACAATATAAGCTTAACTTTCAATAAATTAGGATACACGTCATTCTTTAAATAATTACACATTCTCTGACAAAATCTGAATAATTCTCAGTTCGTCAAAAATTATGTGCTGTCCCGTTGTTACGCCTCACTAATTAATGTACTTTGGCATTGAAATTTTATCAGACATCAGGAATCTCAAAGTTTGTCATCGCACACTTCTTGATATTTAAAGCAGAATAGCTCAAAGGTGAGAAATCTTCAGCAAAAATAGATAAAACTTAGATTATTATGGCATGTAGTATTTATATAGAAGAGACGTTTTCTTCCCTTTTTTTAGCAGTACGACTGTAACATTTCTCCAAAGTTACATTTCTCTGGAATCAATATAATTTTTATCTTATTGGGTTATACATAGAAGTCAGTCTGTTATATTTTAGAAGAAACTTTCCATTGACAAGAAGAGTTACAAGAGTTGGGAAAAGTTAGATGTCTCATTTTGTATGCCTATATGCAGTGAAGCCACATTAAATCGAGTACAATTTACATATTTTACATGTAAGTATTATACATGGTGAGTGAAGACTTACTGCAAGCTGATAAAGTGTCATCTAAAAGCCTTTTTACGATTAATTATCAGAACTATCTTTATAAACTAAATTTGTATGGACGCGGAGAACTGAATTAAAAAGAACCTTATTCTACAAAATTAGATAAAGTAGATATTGATGAAGTAGGTATTGATAGGAATAGATTTTTAAATGTTTTTATCACTCTTTTATAGAAATCTGCAAAAAAATGAGAGCACTTAAAAATATTATTTTCTAAATTGAGGTTGCTTTGGAATGGCGTGAGAAAATTCCGAAATATCTAATCGATAATTATTTAAAAAATCAGCATGATACTTTGAACAATTCGTACTATAAAAGAAATATATATATATATATATATTAAGTTAAAGATTTATAATTAAGAGTTCGATGGAGATGATATTGAATCTCTATTAAAATAAATAGGAAATTTATAAAATATCAAGAGAGATCTAGAGGACGTAAAGTGTTAAAAAGTTTAAAGGCATCTACTCTAAAGTGCCTACATCGCGTGCGATCTTATGTCTATAAAATCTAGACTCTTAAATACACAGCCATTTCTCAACATTTATCAACATGTGATCGAAAAAGCGAACGATTAATGTAACATACTGGGAACAAAGATGACTTTTACAAGCTTTTACAGTTGATTATCATCCAAGAAATACGAATTAAATCTCACACGCATACCTCATACACACATACGCGCATATTTTTTTCAAAAAAAAAAAAAACATACTAATTTTAAATATTTATTAGGAAATTGTGCGCTTTCGGATATCGTAAAGTTTGAAGCAAATAAAACTTCAAGCTTTTTTTAATTGCCTATTTTTTTACGACCGATAACTGGCGAGAAAATAGGCAATGAAAAAAAGATTTTAAGTTTTGTTTGCTCCAAATATTACGATATCTGTAAGTATACAATTTCCTAATAAATTTTTAAAGTTTAAACCCGCAATTTAGATAGTCGTTTATGAAGCATAATATGAAGAATTTTTAAACATTCCTCTGAAAAATAATATCGCGTTGTAAACGTGCTACATTACAATTTTATCTTTGATACAAATGAGTATTATACCACAGAATATAGGCATCGATAAAGCGATATGTAGGCATACATGATGTTGAATCAACATTTTTGTCCAATGACATTTTCGTATTCAATGATACGCAATTTATTATATCTTTTATCGAAAATCAGCTAAATATATTGCAAAAACGTATTATAATTTACTCGTTTAAAAAATTCCTCTCGTACAGAATACGTTACTGTGCTCTTCTATATAATTACTATGGCGTTATTTATCACGAGATTTACGCGTCCGAAGTTACTACGATAGATAATAATTTTAGTACAAATTAATATACTCGGGCATCGCGCCGCAAGTATTCGCCGGCCTTAAAGATAAAAAAGATTAAATAAACGCTTTAGCTTAAAGTGTCTCCATGAGAGATAGAAGGAGATCCTTTTTATAAATGTTACTACGTCATTAAACTACGTAATATACAGTTCCAGCCCTGCTCCAGCTGTTGGTAAAGAGCTTTGTGCTATTTATAATCATGTGCAACTGCCTCATTTGCATCACCTATCTTTCTTGGCGCGAATAATGCGATTCTCTGTAACATCCACTTGTTGTGTACTGAAAATCAATATTTTTTCCCCTATCGTTTCGCTAGACTCGTAACAAATCAAATGCCTGATTGCCTAATTGCGGCAATTTCACCATAATTTTTACACCGCTTAGATGATAAATCAATAGCATTGACGTAATGCACTGACCGTTATTGAAACAATAGCTCGCAAGATTTCAGGGAACATATGTGTTATAGAGAATCTCATTGATAAGTACTATACGTATATCTCTTACAATAATTGATAATCATATAAATTATGCTTGAGTAGATATTTAGTAACGTTTCTGCGACGTACCTATGTAGGTCTCGTTTACTAAGCAGGAGCTGGTGAATGTATCGAATCGTCCCATAAGAATCGAAAACACAAAGCGATTTGCATAGAATAAACCTGTACAATAAAGGTAGCGGATAGTATGGTAGTGGATGGTGGATGTATTGTCTGTTCACTACGCATCAGCCAGGCAACTGAACGCTTTTTATATGTACACCGGAGACTCCTGGCCGGTCAACAGCCTAAACATCGATGTGGGCATCGTTTTCATCAAAATCTAAAAAAAAAAAATCCTTTTATTCTTATACATTTAATCATATTTTCTAATATTCTTTCAAATAAAAAACACGTTAAAAGCCATATTTTAATTTTACGCGCTTACATACCTCTCCCACTGACGTAGCCAGAAGATTAACAATCTTTTCGTGCGGTACAGCAACAACACTCTGATTATTGATTTCAATTATCCTATGGCCCACTCGTACTCCGCCTCGCTCGGCGATACCACCTCTCAATAGACTACATATCACTCCATTCTGTACACTAAATCCTAACTGATATTTCGTATCGGGTCTCTTGATTTTCACTTCGACTACAGGTGCACACGGCACGACAGTTAGCTTGACAACCGTTTGATTCTTTGAGTTTTTTATGTAAGTCTGACACGTGGACAAAGGCAAGCCGACTAACGATACGCCGTTAATCGCTATTATCTGATCGCCGATGTTAAGTTGACCGCAACGTGCGGCGGCACCGGCCGGTGCCAAATTTGCTATGACTACGGTTGGCAGCATCGAGCCCCATCCGGACTCAACGATCACAACACCGAGGATCTCTCCCTTTGCTTTCGGTACCACTACCTGCAAAGCAGAGATATTCTTTAGTCTAATACAATTGCGAAATTTTCTTTAAATCGGTCGCGATAATTAACATTTTACATCTCTTAGAAGTTGGGGAAATTGATTCAATTTTGAGAATTCATGAGAAACTGATACTTCCAACAAGTTCGCGGCTGTTAAATCGCGGTTGTTAATCGACAAGAAAGTATCTTTCTTGTACAGCTTCTCTGGGCCGCTATGTACTGTAGACATTATTAGTTATTCCTTTTGGATTAAAATAGAAAGGGTAATACACTCATATTTCAAAGATTACCTCTTTCTGCATCTCCTTCTTTGCGAACATCTGCAGCTCGTCGCCGAATATCTCCTGCGAATTGAGCACCTCTTGGTAATCCATTTCCTTAACAAAGCTATGATCCTCTATCCCATTTGCTTTTAGGAACTCCATGTAAGCTACTTGGAATGCTTGTCCAATACTTTGTGCTATAAATTGAGCCTCCTCACTTTCAAAAACATGACATATCATCTTTGGAGTTCGATTGATTTTTGGTACTTCTTCCATTTCGTGCGGTACGAAACGTCGCCGTGCCATTAGCACTACTAGATCACCGATATCCGCTATGTATGAAATCGTACGTAACGCATGATCCATCATGATCTCCTTCAGATCGGTGTTAAGAACCATGATCTTCTCCGTTGAGATAAACAGATCTACTTCCGTACTTGGTTGAGTGTCACCGTCCGGTGCCTGAATAAGTTCAACACATCCTTTTTAGAAAACTGTTACATTACTACGAATTTCTGCATCATATATATGTATTTCATACATTACGTACCAGCGCCTATCATAAGGAAGCAGCATGTATGACAAAGTAGAGATAAACAAGTAATTAATTATAAATATATATACGTATAATATTAGTATTTTAAACAACACAATACAACGCTTAACTGCTAATAAAATAATTAAATAATGCAAGATAATGTAAACTGTATAAAGTTGAGCATAATCATTAACGGCGCTATCACAAACCTGAGAGTTTGAGAGTTAAAAGTCGCCTAACTTTGACGCAACATTTAACTTGCAAGAGACTCGTCGCTATGATTTATGAAGAATGTGCATTATACGTAGGTAATACGAGTTTCGTAACTGAAAAGTGCATTATGGGAAATTGCTGTGGGTTTTGTGGGTGAATAAAATAAAATTCGTAAAAGGGTTCAAGTTGTAAGATGAAATGGCCGTAAGAAGATTTGATTCTTATAAGTATTATATAAAATCAATAGAGGGATGAAACGGTCGAACGACTGCTCTTGTAAGAGTCAAAGGGCAGTCGATCGGATTTAACAGCGAAGAGGGTTCACTGGGATGAAGGGCAATGAGGGCGGACCTTTATTTTTGTCACAGCCTCCTCCACCATGTGGTTCTTAAGGCGCTTACGCCGTTTACGTCCCCCTTCCTCTTCCACCTCCACCGACCCAAGAAACTGTAGTCTGAAAACGGTTGTGGGCCCCAAGCAGCCACTGATCGGGGCCAGTTTCGGCTGGGCCCCAAGCGCTTGTGACTCGGACTGGCCCCCACCAGAAGCGCTTCCTATAAGTTCTTCGCTCGAGTCGCACTCGTCCTCCTCTAGGCTTCCTTGCGAGGCAATGCTGCAGCGACCATACCCATGCTGCCCCCCATAGTTTAAGAGTGTTGCCTGCATCGGCACTGGCCCATCATCCTTCCGTTATGTACGCGCCAAACAAACAAACAAACAAAGGCTCTGCTAGTCACATTGCCACGCACCACCGACAGAACGAGAGGCAAAAGAGCCAATGTTCATGAGTTCTTGAGTTGCTATATCAACGGCTTTACTTTTCTCTTATGCACAGTGTCATGCTTGTGTCTTCTATTGTATGCCGGATCGAGTCATTCACACATATAAATGCATTAGTCCGGTAGCATACACTTCTGCACACGATGCGACCTTTATTATGCAATTTTGCTTTCGGACAAGCTCATGGTGTCTGGAAGCTGTGCAACGTGCAAGCGTTATGTTATGTTACAAAATGGTAAATTCAATGGACAAGCACACGCGGATTCGTTGCAATTGTAATTCAAGAACGTATTAATAGCGATGCTGCGTCTCTAGGTGTCTAGCAACTCAGAACTCGAAGCACGATAAGGCTCTGTTAATGCGATGAGCATTCCAATTTTTTTCAATCAATCAATTTGTCTTATTTTGTCATTTTGAAAATGAACAATCAAAGAGAAATACAAGCAGTTGTGTGATCACACATAAAATTATAATATTATTTTCCGTAACTATAATTAATTTCGATTCAAAGTATCTTTTCAAACAAATATAAAGATACAAGCATAAGTAAAGTTCTTTTGTTAGCGTTATTTAAAAGTATGATGTAAGCACGAGTTTTAATACGGCTTTATTAAAAAGCTATAACGTAATTTAATTAGATATTATAATCGCCAAAAAATTTTAACAGACTAGGAACGTCTTCATCCTTGATGTTCTGTCATTATTTACACTGCCTATATTAGAACATAGCTTAGCAGCCTTGCAATTAAACAAATTCATGCACACGCTATTCAAAGAATTAATTAATATTATAATTCCTATAAATCTTAATATCATCATTTTTCAAATAAACTAGAATATGTTCACAATAGATTTTCACAACGGATATTCCATGAAAATATAATTTCTATCTTGATTCCCGAATAGTATGCAACCAAAATATTCTTGTAGCGACAAAAAAAGAACTGCAATCCGAGTCTACTTAACTATATAAGATCTCATTTCATGCGATACAATAATATATTATAAAAAAATATTTAGCAATCTATATTTTGAAAAATCAAATTGAATGAACGAATATGTATATAAAGAACTAATTACGCTCAATCTTGTAGGATACTGTCAGAATATCGTAGTATCATCGGGCTATCGATTCGATATAATCGTATCTCTTTAAAGCTTGAAGTTATGAATAACATTTTATGAAATTTCTTGTAATTTCCCTAAAATATGTCTCAAACAGAGCCATCTGTTACATTGCACCTAGATTGTTTTTCGCGTTCCCAGTTTTCTTCCTTTCTACTGATCAGTATAATAATTTGCTGGATTTTTATAGATAAATATCTCCCGCGAGTATATGGATTTTTTGTGCGTAAAGTTGATCAAGAATCTACAGGAAAGCGGACATAGCAAGCGGACAACAGATATATAAATTAAATATTCGCAAAGGAAAAAAACAAAGACTGACAGACATACAGAAATCACATCAAAGTTACACTGAGAAGATGACAGTGTTCGGTGGTCAGGTGGTGGTGGTGTTGGTGATGTGAGGAAGGGGGTCGCTACACTGAAACATTCAGGCCTCTTTGCACAACGGCCAGTTCACAGTTATATTTAGATTAATTATTAGATAGGTAGACAGAATCAGCATTTAGATACTTCTATGGGGGAGAGTCATCTTAGATAACGACAAAAGCCGCTAATAAAAATTATTAATTAATTATTACAAGATAACAGAGACGAGAAGTCTATCTTATCTAAATGCTGACATTTGATTACTCATGAGCAGAACCTAAGAGTAGGAGGAAAGAATTTACTGTTTTATATTGAGTTTAATATTGACAGTTTCCTTAAAAGATTGAAAAGTATCATAAACTATAAGTACTAATTAAAAAAGAAACATCGTCGCTTATTATTAATATACCAATAAAAATATGGACTATGTAAACAGAAATATGGTAAGTATCTGTACTATTTACTAAAGAGAGTATTTTGGTGAATTATCTATGGTCCTTTTGCAACATATTCGTCACATATCCATAGAATTGAGGTACAAACGAGTCTTAAAATTTGAACAGTACTCTTTCCTACAGAAAACTCTCAGGTTTAACTTATTTACTTAAGATTTCAGCATTTTAACCATTTGAGGTAAATTAATGGTTTCAAAATAATATATAATATATTTAACTAAAATATTTTATACTTGGTAAAGAGGCGCTAATCTGAAAATCCCTTGCAAATATTATAGATGTTATTTGCAATATTTTACAGAGATTATATTTCGTGATTGCACCAAGAAAAAATTGCAATTTTGAAAATCCTCAAAAAGTTAAAAACTTTAACAATGAAATATACATTATTGCAGATGAGAATATTGCACTGTTGTTCACTACAATTTAAGTAGCAAATTAAAATAGTATAAAGCATTCAGAGCATGCTGCTAATTTCGTTATTATTGTTCATAGTTTAATTCTAATAGTCCCTGAAACAATTTTATACTCCCTAATATTTTCTAACGTTTTCGATTTTCGTTTTAATAAAACATTATTGAAAAATTAACAATTGAAACATTTAATCGACGAATAGACTCTAACTGTACTTGTTTTGATCTATATAATGTGTTTTCCAAACTTAGTGCTACTGATCTAAATATAACACAACATATTACGTGGATGCATTATCTAACAAATAAACGCGATATCTTCATTTAATTAATAATTACTGCTTTTAAGAACAAACATTCTAAGAAAATAATACATATGACTTTCAAATAAATTACATCGCATTTAATGGTTTATGTACTCCATATTTGATTATATTGATTTTTCACTTCACAAAATTCTTTATAAAAAATCTATATAAAAAATCTGTATAAAAAGTCCTCATATACTCGTTCCATTTGTACATGAGATAAGTATTATATTAGGTGTTGGAATTAATTCGTAGCGTTTTATATACATAAATAGAAATTGTGCTTTTATATACACATAGTTGTATATAATCGTATATACACATTTTTCGCAACGTTTGACGTTTGTATAATACCAGTTCAAGAGGAATATATCTCAATTCTGAGATAAAAAGAAATGTTTCATATACATATGTACCTTTATTCTGGAAACGGCTTCCTCTGCTTGACACATGCGGGTCGACTTCGTCGGTTGACCTTCGCATACTAATTGCGTGGATCCTAAGTACCTCGCGCGGAATAGGACACCTTCGATCAACACTGATGGATCATCCAACAAGTCTGAAAGAGGCACAGACACGTACCATTTAGGATTTTTGAGCCCACGTGTATCATGAAGTAGTGTGCCAAAGGCGGCTAAGTGCTTGGAAGAACATAGAGGCAGTCTAACAGACGACATAATTATAGTATCCAATAATGGATCCTCTTGTCCTATTTTGTTTGGATCTTCAGTTAATATCTTCATATTGCATAAAGATTATAAAAATTTTTATAATCTTGCTATTCTGTTACGATTATGTTAACTACTTTTTTTCATTTCTGTTATTATTTAGAAATTATATCATATTTAATTTATTTTATTTAATTTACATATATATTTTATTTAATTTACGTATTTTTTATTAAATTTATTTAATTTACAATAAGCACGACAAATGATGTACACGCATTCAAAATGTACAACTACATCACTTTGAAAGATTATGACACTTGTGAAACTCTTCAATACCGCTTATCAATTAGTGACTTTATCGAGGAATACAAATAGAGAAATGTAAATATCAGAACATCTCAAATCTCTGAATGTGATCTATAGATAACACATAATAAATTTAGAGATGCATCTTGATAAAACATATCACACGTATTAAAGCATTGTTACACATGAATAAGATAGAAACATTGGATTATCAAGAAATACTATAAAACCAACAAGTAATATTATATCAAATAATTAATTCTGAATTATAACTATTTCTAATAATTGCAATAACAATGTGTACTCTAATTGCACAATTACTCTAACTGTGTTATATAATTTTATATGTGTGTATATGTATGTGGATGTGTGTACATATATATACATAATTAAAATAAAATTTCGTTTATTCGAATATGTCGAAGAACTAGACAATTTCGATAACCGAACAGTTCGAATAAGAAAGGCTCACTAGCTATCCCCTATGCCAATACTTATTAGTTATTTCAATGATAGGAACTAACGTTCTGAAAACTGAAGTTGTGCTCTTATTATCCGAACTGATATGACGCCATAATGTGGATAAGAATTACGAGCTCAGTTACGAGCTCGTATTGGAACGAAATAACCCATTTTTACAAAACTTGAAATGGAGAATTTAAATAAATTCTACTGTATATGCATGTTCTATTGTATATGTATGTATAGACACACGCACATATGTGTAAATACCTATATGCATATAAAGAGTACCTACCATCAAACAATGATTAGAAGCAGAATGTCGAATTTATATATCCGAGCAAGCAATAGAAAAAGAAATATTATATTAGCATTATAATAGTAATAAATAAAATGACTAAGAAATACAAAAAACAATTATTAAAAATGCAATCGTACCTTCTTTGTTTCTGCTCTTTTTCTTTCCTTCCTTATCCTGCAAAATAGATCAGACAATGCATTTTGCATGATAGCACAAATAAAACTTTGACGAATACGCTCGCAATTAAATCTTGTAAATATGATATATGTAATCTCACTTAAGCTGTAGAATGTGCTAACCATGCAGCAACTGCCATGTAAGAAAGCTAATAAACATTAACATATTCCTATTTACGTCTAGAAACAATTATTATAGTAACATAGTAATAATAATAATAGTAATAGTACAGTAATACTAGATAGGTATTAAATGCTACGATAATTTGATCCTTCCTTTTATGAAGCAACAATTATATTTATAAAGCACAGAAAAAATGAGTTATTCTTAATTATATATTAATTTTCAAGATATGAATTTAGAGTTTAAACCAGAAAAAACGTCATATAATATATACATATACATATATAAACAAAGTTTAAACGACTACGTTTATATAACTTTTTTCTTGTTTCAATTTCTAGATTCTTTCCTTGAAGCATATATAATTAAAAATCATATAAAGCATTTCATTATCATTACACTATTTGGATACGGAATAATCTAATATATATATATCGATATTTTTATAAATAACGTTAATATTTCTGTTACAAATTAAAATAAGCATAATAAGCGGAAGCTATAAAGGAAAACTCTAAAGCAATAAGATAAAAAAAAGTACCTTTTCTTTTTTAGAAAAATCAGCTTAAACATTTTTATTAATTATTTCTTAATTATATAACAAAAACTATTTTATTTTTCTAGTAAAAAAAAATATTTTGAAAATCATCTTTATAAAACTTATACAATAATAAATAACTGTCTATTATAAATAACGTGTCAATAATTATCAAATATGTTATTATTAGAAAATGCATTTGAATTAACAGATAAATTATATATTTAAGCTGATTAGGACGTATTTCGTTTAGCAACAGAAGAATAGTACTATCATGCACCAATGTGTGCTATTTTATTTCGCGCAAGCTCACTAGAAATATAGATATCTATAGTCACTAATAATAAAACAGATTCCGTGGTAGCATTTGAAAGGGCACCTTTTTCACCTTGTTGTTGGATTCCTTGAGGCTCTGAGGGGATGAGGGGGAGTTTTTGACTGGGGTCTTCTGCGGACTCGATGTAGGTTGCGCGGGAGTGGCTACTTCGCACTCGTTAGAAGACGACGATTGTATAACAGACACTACAAGAGGAGGGGAGATCGAGGCAGACGTCGAGGGTATGGGCTCGGAAGGCGCTAGCGTTTCTATCGGGGCGACACTCAAAGATTTAGGAGGGGTTTGTTTTGGAGTAGCGACTTTCGCATTCATTGGTGGTAACATAGTCCTAGTCTTAGGCTTCCTCCACCCCTGCATAACACCAAGACGATATTAGTAGAACACCGATACCATCGAATAGCACAAAATACGGGGAAAATGTAGATTATTCGTATCCTTTTTTTTCTTGAATTTAAACGCATTTAGCACCGTCTCAATATTACCTAGTAGGACGTTGTGAATAGAGTATGTATGATTGATAATACAAGTGTTGTAACTTATTTAATTTAATCTAATTATCCTTATTTAAGAAACAGATTATTAAACAATAATTAATAAGAATAATATGATGGAACGGACTGTTAAGCATCGAGTATATGCTCACCTTATCGTCGTAAAATCCTTGATCGTCCGTTCTTTGTTGTCCGAGCAATCGATCTGTTTCAAGATCGGTATCCGCTTCCTCTTCGTCTGGACATTCCTCAATTTCCACATCAGCTTCGTCACCTATACGACGCGCATCAGATTCTTCGCTATTGCTTTCCATACAGACTCTCCGCCTGCCATCCATTATACTGCATCTTAGTTAGATGCGTTTATACGCAACACAGAGGTATCCCAAAGGGTATCCCAAACGTATATTCGATGTCGTAAAAGGAGAACTTTCATAGTGGTAAGTAAAAAAAGTACCAAGGCAAAATAATGGACAAATTTTAACAATTGGAATACCCTTAGCCGCATAAAACGAAACGTAAAATACCTTGGTATCCATATCGGACTAACGCTCGGTTCTGGTGGTTCTTCCGACGGTGATTTCACAGGTAGAGCTTTAGTCCTTTGTAGGGCCATTCTAATATCTTTGATGGCTGCTTCTACCTCTCCACAATTTACTTCTAAGGATACACTCTGTCGTCCTTGAGGTGCCGGAGGCGGCGGCGTGCCCAGTGGATCCAATCCATCGAGTTGGAGCTCGTTCGTGTCATACGAATTTTCCTTCTTCGCGACAAATAGATCAGGAGATGTAGTCTTCAACGTGTGTAAAATATCCTTTGTTACATTTAGACTAACGTCTTTCCCAGAGTCATTCTCATTCGTACCTAACATGTCGTTACGAGTTCTCTGTATGATCTCTTTCTCTATCTCGTTTATTTGCCGTTTCATGAGCATCACAGTAGGATTATTGTTGTCAGTATCACTCGCGTGTCCACTAGACAGGCCGTCTTCTAATACCGGCATACTAGTGTATATTCTCAGGGAATCCGAATTATTCCCCAAATCGCCGACCGATCCGAGAAGGCCACTTGCTGGCATCAATTCATTATCCATCATCATGAGGGATACCTCGCTGTCCAAGTCACCGCAATTACTGTCACAATCGGTTGTCTCGGGACTTAGTGTAAAATTACGCGAGTGTCCCACTTGCAAGCCAACCTCAGTCTCTCCAAGATCTTCACTGCTGCCAGTACCTACTGAGAGGTCCAAAAAGTTGTTTTCATGTTCACCCGTCTAAAGAACACAAAAAGCCAAATGTAAATATTTACTTCATAATATCGTAATTACCGTTAAAGTGGAAAAATTTTTCAAACAGCTATACGGTGTAACTTTAAAAATTGTATCTATAAATATAGATTTATATTTAGAATCTATGTGACTACTGAAAGCAATATAATTTCCAAACATTAATAATTAATACTTTAGAATTGTTAAAAACATAATATTTGCGTTAAAAGTATTTTTGTTTATTGCATTTAACTTTATAATACATAAATAAATATTGATTTTATATAAATTGAACTAATACATAAGGAAACGAAATTAATGGTATATAAAAAAAATTATCAAAATAATGTTTCTTACTTTATATATTGTTATACTTACATTTTGTGGAAATTCTGCCCGTTGCTTTTTAGGAGACTCATGTACCATAACCTCTTCTGTTGCAGGTGGACCACTGGCTAATCGTTGACCAACATATGCACTTCCACCTTGCCTTCTTAATTCATAATCAAGATCCTACACCAAAAGTAATTTTTTAATTACAATTTACAAACTTTTAGTTATTATGCATGCATGTATCTTCTTGGATCGAATATCTGCTTGGATTTTTTTTAATATCACTACCTTATAAATTTTTTTAATTATTTAACTTTCATGTATATATATATATATATATATATATATTTATTTATTTGACATACATTTTATAGATCTCATTGAAAAGAACGAAATATCTCGTAAACAAATATTTATGGATTCTTTATGTTTCAGCAAAGACTTACCTGGAAAGGAAAGGATTCTATATTGTTTTCCTTTTCTTTCGTCGGCGCCGGACATTTGAAGAATTCTTCTAACACTTTCCGTGTCTCTGAAAATTCATATAAATAGTCGAAGGTGCTACCTCCCGGTGAGACAAGACTGCTTATATTATCAGCAGGCAAAGTTGATGGCTTTAAAGAATCTTCCTCTTCCTCTTCGACTTTTGGCGATGGAGATGAAGGATGTATAGGCTGATCTTCAGTGTTAATATTTTCTATCACAGTCTTGTCTACTACGATTTCTGCAGAAGTATCTTCCTTCTTGAAATGTAAGATACATGGACGAAGTATTAGAGACTATTAAGCCATTTGATATAATATTCCATAAATGATATATATATTTTTACCTCATTGTGATTTGGTGTTGTTGGCAATACTCTTTGAGGGAAACCAGGCCTCGGTGTCATGTACATTGAAGGTGATGATAATAAGCTAGGAAGCTGTGTATTTTCACGAACTCCATAACGTCTCGGGCTGCCAGAATACTGAGCGATTGGTAATTCACCAATTACTCTCGCAACCTTATGATTACGTTCTGGAGAAGGAGAATCTGCTTCGCAATCACTCGCTGGTGTAACAACCTACAAAAGTTAAAAATTTGTGAAAAGTTCTTTTCTCAATTAAGAAACGCACGTGTCTGTTATGCATATTACTTTGAAAAATTCTGAAGTATTGCGATGATATGCCGTCGTCGGACTAGGAGTACTTCCAACGCTGGAACTCGGTGGTTCCGGTGCAATACGACCTCTTTGCGAATCGTCTGTCTCCAAATCTAGATTCGTCGTCGTAACTTGATTCGTATTGCTCGACGGCAAATTGAATCGCAACCCCCCCTTCCAATTATCATCGATATCGTCAAATACCACAACTTCGCCGTCGCTGACAATAGCCATACTTCTCGCGGGGGTGTTGTGATTCGATTGATAATCTACGCAGCTCTTTGGTAATCCATAGTCCAGATCGGTAATACTTTTTGGTATGGTATATTCTACATTATTGCTATTCAAGATTGAATCATAATTAATTATGCGATTGCTGCGGTTGCTTTTAGGAGAGTCGTAATCGAGAATGGATTTTGTAGCGTTACGTCGCACCGAATGTACTTCGGAGGCAAACACGGTCTCCGTCACTTCTCGATTTGCACGTTGCTTTCTGGTTTCACCGCATCTGAAAAAAGTTACAACAATTTATAGAACACAAGAGAACGTTATAGACAATAATAATAAGATCTTTGTACAACAGATGAAATATAAATTTAATTACCGACTTCGTAGCTCCCATATGGTCTGCGAGTTAGGAGACTTATTATTCTTCTTAACAGACAACTTATTATCAGTTTGAATATTATCCTCGTTATTTATGGAATTTGACGCAGCCAAAAATCGCGACTTTCTAGCTGCCACCTTCCCTCGGCTCTGCGAGAATACCTCTCGGCCACCAGCGATTTCTATAATTCTGCAGGACAATACAAGAACTATTACATACTCATGACGATTTATATGACTGCAAAACAGTCCTAAATTATACGTTGGTCATTTTCATCTTATTTTATTCGAATTTAATGCTCGTCAAAGTTGTCAATGTTCACGTATATAAAATTAATACTCCAGTAAGGCTCAGGTTCGTTTCTGTAACTTTTTCCATCGAATTCAATATATTTTCAACATTCAATCGAAAGCAACTTTCGAAACAGATGACTCACGGATACACGAACGAAATATTCTACAGCTGCTCATTTTTATAAAATCATCATTAAGCTCGGAGCGTTATAAATCTCGACGTCAGATTCGATGAGGTCAATATTTGTACAATGTATAACTGCATCGATAAGCGACATTCTCTCCGTTGTATCGTCAAATTGTGCACGTGGACGATTACAAGTGGCGAATCCCCGAAACTCGACGTCAGATCAGACAACATTGAACACCTGACTGACCTGACAGGCAGAGAGAGAGTTAACCCCAAAGTTGACGCGTGGAGTGTTCCATGTTTTACATTTCCACGATTACATTTAATTCGATGCGCTCGGTCGGACCGATTCCAGCCTCACGCACAATTTATCAGTCTTGGGAGTAATACGGCCCTGTCGGCATCTGGAATGCTTTATTGAAAAATGTTCATCGGGTCCGCTGATGCGGAGATCACGACGACAAAGCGTTCACGACGAGGAAACGTGTGTAGTATGGTGTAGTATAGACGAAAGAAAACGGGCGCGACTTTTAAGCCCCGTAACTCCCGTGGCGCCCATTTGGATGCGCTCCCGTCGCCTTGAAGCAGTTGGAACTTGGAACGACTCGGTCTTATCTCCTCGACGATTTACGGACCAACCAACGTCGGGAAGAATCAATGACGGATCAAGATCGACCGCGGGCCCTGAGACACAAACAAACTCCCTCCCGCTGAATATAAACTGACAGTGAGTATTTATAAGGATATTCAGGATTTTTTTCAGGGGAGGGGAAGGAGTTTTTATCAATTTATTATCGCATAATTTTTTGCGTCAATAAATTGTTTTTTTTTTTTTTTGAATATTTTAAAGCTTATATCTCCTGGCTTCTGATTTTAAATGAAAAAAATATTAGGTTTTGTTAATCATAATTTTTAATCACAAATTTTGGAGGTGTTTTTGAATTCCCAAACTCTCCCACCTTGAATGTGTCTACGGCAACATTTTGTATCACACAATGCTACAATTTCCTACTCAATAGTATAATTATTATGTATAGATACAGCATGTGTTTATATATCACACTTAAAATTATGATATTAATGCAACGTTCTGGTTATATATTGTTTGTTAAGTCGTTTCTTCAATCAATTTTATAACATGCTTAAAAAAAAGAAATAAATTCTTTTTTTAGTAGGATAATGAATTTAATTTAAAGACTAATGAATTTTGTTTAATTTGTAATAAGTATATTTTAAGATTGTTACCACATAAAGAAAATATTCTTTGTTCAAGATAATCGTTACTTAAAAGAAAGAAAGTAAATTGAGTAATCACTTTTCTCAGAAATAGAATGATATTGCTCCGTGTGCAACAGTGAAATTCTCAGAACGTTTAAAATGAAGATAAGTCGAACTCTATCGCTAAGGCGCATATCGGATGTTCAGGCGCATATCGGGATATGAGCTAAAAGTTTAGATTTAAAAATCCGTCGGGTATATCGGGTAATTCCGCTCGTATGTTGCGCGCGTGAAGTTTCGCCAATAATGGACAACTTCATGGGATAATTTGAAATTATCGGGTATCCGCGCTCGCCGACTATACCCGAGCAAATGCGGATCGAAATACGGAACAACGGAAATATCGGAAAATAAAAGGTACTCGGACGCGCGTCTATCTACATACGGATTATCATTGTCGATAAGCGAGTCGCTTTTCGAGTGCCAATCGATTAGTAATGACAAACCGATACCACGTCGGAAATTCTTTACAACTTGTTTCATTCATAAAGACATTAACGTTTCTTTATCTAACTATGCGCACCTTTGGGATAATAGTTTCCGCTTTAGAACAAGATATATATTAGGCATCATTACACGAAAAGAACCATTTTGTTAAATGATTTAAATAATATTTATCACATATTCATATTGTGTCATATTTTTTTTTATTAGAGTTTAAGCAAAATCCTTTTAAATGAGCCCTGCTCAACTCTAATGACTCCAATATTTACCAGAAATGTGATTTTTTTTTTTGTTAAATACGTTGAAACATGTCGTTGTAAATCGCGAATAGTCGCGAAATATTACTGCCGACGAAGACGTTATTATTCCGTCGCGAGAAGCCACGCCTGAAAAAAAAAAAAGAGGAGAAAAATATTTGCCGAACGCAGATTACACCGTCGCGGGCTTATTGACTTGTTTGCTATACATCGAATAGCCCGCGCGACACATTAACGGCAGACGCGAAGAAGAGCGGCTGATATTTGACTGACATTTCCGTTGGAGCATATCGTCGGTATTAAGCTTGAAATTAACGCCCCATTGAATATACATGGACATGACGCGCGCTGGAATCCTCACTGCTCTGTGGAAACCTCTGTAGAAACTGTATCGGCTATCGAAACCGGGCGCTCGTGTCCGTTGTAGATACACAAAGACCGTACGTCAAATGGACTTTCATCGTGACGACGGACACGTTACATCGCGAGCGAACGCTCGAATTTAACGTCGCGATACGACACGTAACACACTTTTGCGTGTACACAAGTGTTCGCACACGTCGGCTTCCGCCGCCCGTTATCGATTCCTCCGCACGATTTAACCGTTTAACTTGGTAATTCAAACGCCCCACAATTAACTTTAATTTCTATTTTAACACGTTTCCTTTTTAAATATTGAAACTGTGACTCTTCTCTTCATTACTATTCATGTTTCATTTTCGTTATCTAAATTTTTTAAGTACATTGTATAGTTATATGGTTAATTATAATGTTATAATATATTGTGTAGAGTTCATAATAAGTATTATATGTATCTTCGAATTTATTGAAGTCTAAAGGAAAATTTGTGCAATCAAAATTACACAGAAGGAGACTGTCATGTTGCGATAACAATATTTGATCAGGTGGAGGCGCTTTGAAGATTTCAATATTTCAGTATTTTCGTTTTTTGAACAAAATTACATGATTTTTTTTTAAGTAATATATATGATATCTCTAAATATTTTGCTATATAAAATATTCAGATGAAGGTATCAAAAAAATCAATCAAAGTTTACAAGAGCTTTTATACTTTATTCTTGCACATTTTAACATGAAATATAAAATATCTCGTAAACTTGTATTAATTTTTTGACAATCGCACCTCAACACTTTTATACACTGAATGATAAGTTGAATTAATTGATATAAAGAAATTGTGCAATTTGCAATATGCAAACGTATCTTTGTGAAAATCAGCTGTTTTTACCTTGAAATCTTCGAAACGTCTCCGCTTGAAAAAAAATTATTATGCCATATGTTGCCCCTTTCATGCTATTTTGGTTACATTTTTCCTCTTTATAAATTCAAAGATATTTAATTCAAAGATATTTAAAAAATAATAATTATTAAGACACTCTGTGTAGAGACTGAACAGAGTACTAAATTAACTCAATTCTCCCATATTCCATTCAGCTAATTTTTGAAATCCCATTAACTACAAATATACAGAAAAGAAGATATTTAGTATTCACTAAAAGTTTGTTGTATTTTCATCTTTTTTTCTATATTTTAGAACATTAATCGTAAGTATTTTATGATAATATTTTCATATGTATTCCGAAGTGTGGCGATTGAAATAGCAATTTATTACATACGTATGGCAAAGGTAACTAAAGTATAGCACTTCCGTTGGTAATAAATATTCCGGAACTGTCGGTATTTTTCGACACAACATTAATTACATTTCTGCAGAACGTTAAGTGATTCTTGATTACCTCGAATCCCGAAGCTTATAGCTAGGGCCTCCCTTGGCCGAGGTCAAAATGTACACAGGGCTTCCCTCGGGTCCGCTATCGTCTTGCTGCGATTGTCCCTGATGATCACTACCCGGCAGACTACCGTATTGTGGCGCGTCCTCACTACGTCCGGACGCCGAGGAGGAGCTCGACGAAAGCGGCTTCGTGGCGTGCGGCAGTTGGCCCTCGACCGTGAAACCGGGCACCACGCTCGCCGTCCTACGGGACAGCGAACCTGATTTTTTTCTGCCATTCGCTCGTTTCCTATACCTACGAACGTAACTTGGCACTCTTAACAATCGGCAATCGGTGAAGGGAGTACAATTACAAAAAAAAAAGAAAGAAAGAAAGAAAAAGAAGAAACGTTCCCGGACCATCGTTTTATGATGGGAATCGACAGCGCACGTTTATTTGATTATAATTGAGGAGTTCGATGGAACTAATGCGACTTCGACCTATTTCTCCAAAAATTTGAAATTACATTTAAAATTATATTAAACAGTTGATAGAAGAAATTTACTCTCGAAGGTGTGCGACGTATCTTCGCCCATAAATCTAATTATGTTTTACACTCCTCTCGCGATGTAGCTTTTCATCTTCATTCCGCACGCCTGCGCTCCATCTGGCTCCTCAATTACATAATTAACCATCCTATAATTTTGCATGAAACGTTAAGTGGAATAATTGCATAATAAATATGTACAGAAATAAAACCTTTCGTATCATTAATATTCCGCTCGTTACGAGCTCATTAAAAAGTGATACGGATAAAAAGATACAATTATTGTTAAATGTACTGTTAAAAACTACAATTGTATAATGTATATAACATTATTCCGCGCGTATTTAGTACTTTATATTATATATAAATTTTCTGCTCTGCTCTGCTACGTAAAATGAACCTTTATAAAATATCGACGCCAAAGAGACATGTTCTGTCTATTGATATATATGTCTTATAATATAATATTAGATTGTAAGATTCAAATTCATTCAGCTTTTTCTCGTAGTACGTTGCGGTGTTGCGGCGGTCGCGGCGGTGACGGTGGTGGTGATAGCGGCGGCCTCCGTCTGGCAGGGGCTGTCATGCGGCTGCTGGCTGCTCTGCGTGGAGGCCCCCGGGGCCGGGGGTGGACCGCCCCTAGGCCGGCATTTCGGAAAGAGTCGATTCAAGTCGGCGTTCTCCAAGATCAGGCTTGTCATCGCCACGGCGCATTCATGTCTCGCAGCAGGATGTCCATTCTGCGGGCACAGAGAGGATTTCGCGCTGTTAAATGCGGCGTGGATGAGACGTGACGTGGATGATCTGTTCATGCGTTCCCGCATTTTAAGATAGGTGTATACGCTGGACGCCAGGAGGCGAGAGACGTCTCCTCGCGTCATCTCTCCTTGTATTCTTCAACGTCTCACGAATGTCTCTATCTACTTGCACATGTGTCGTGTAAAGTGTCCAATGATATATCCGTTTTCCTTCTCGGAAAGATTGAAATGATATTTCTCTTAAAAAGAAAATATTCTAAAGATAATAATATTTCGCGTATTTAATATGCTCTAAAAAATATTAACACAGCGTATACGAACTATTTTCATTGATAAAAATTATTAAAAATTCTCATTTCAATCTCTTGTGAGAATTTTACATGAGAACGACTTTTCTGATTTCCAGAAATAATAAAAGGCGTTTGTGTATTTTTTTTTTTTCTTCATCTATTATAAAATCATCTCGCGAGTTTTAAGGAAATCTTCGCACGATATTCCGAGTGCAAAGTGTTATCTCCAAGAGAGTAAATCATATTTTTATTTATGTAACTCTCACCATGATGTTTATGTCAACGAGATTGGAGGATTATATGCATAAATACCGCACGATGTTTGATGTTAAATCCGTATCCATATTTTTTTGGATTGTGATGATTCGCGCTACTAGTTTTAAGTCCCCTGTAGAGAAAGATCACTATTACAGTTATCTAAACGGGTCATCGTGAAAATGTGTGTACCACCGCAGTTTCGAGTACCTCTGTATACGAATGAAAAATCTCTTCCCTTTGCTCTAACGGGGTCGTACTCGTGCGAGAACAACGCGACACTCAAACCGCGCCGCCACTCGTGTGCACGACATCGAAAGTGTTATACTTCATACAGAGCCGCGGTGTTCAAAGGGGATTGGAGCACCGCATGCAGAAGGGTTGGGTCAGTAGTGTATACGAGGTGAAACACACAGAGACTGTAATATATTCGAACGTGCAGCCGGTTGGCTTCTTGCGTGCCCAAAATTATCGGAGGTAGATTATCCAAAAGAGATTTTTGCGAGATACATCGACATTGATCTCAAAATTATTCTTAAATCGTTAAAATTTAAATTGAATTTCAATCATGCTAGATTTTTGAAAAAATATGCTTCCGCGAGTGAGCTGTTTTCATTGATGACAAACATTATATTTTAATCCTCCCCTGAAAATCTTAAAAACACACTTAATTATAAATTCTGATAAACAAATTTCAGTTTGTAAAAAATAAATAAAATACAATCTGAGATTTTCTACTTTCATTACAGTAAAAGTTTTTATACAAAATTTTTTCTAGTTTTTATACAATCTCCGAAACGATATAAAAATTTGTACTGAAGTTCGAAGACCTTAGGATGCAAAGGGTGGAAATTTCACACATTGCCGACGTAGGATTAAAATTATTACAAAATTATGAGAATTTTAGATACGAATGATTTTTCCAATTTTTCAGAAATAATAAAAAATACTTGTTTTAAAAAAATCTATTGTAATAAATTACTTACGAGCTTTAGAGAATTTTTGCATAAAATTCCGAGAGAGCAGTGGTATCTCCAAGAGGGTGAATCATCTCTAATTGCACAACTATAATTACCTGTCGCAAGTTTCTTTCATTTCACAATAGGCTCGAGCGTACATATACATCGCTGGGACAAGCACAGGAAGTTTCCTCTCTTTGCGGAGAAATTTGCGAGCAAACGGTTATTCCAAAACTCGAGTTATTACCTCGAGTAGCGCCCGTTATGCGCAGCCGACCAACCCCGTCGCGAACTTTCCGCGCCGAATTTATTGTTATGCAGTAACTCCGATGCGAGGGAAGTCTCATCGGGTTCAACGTGCCTTACCCAAGATGAACTTTACGCTTTTAATTAACAATACTTTTCCCGCTCGGGACTTATAAAAATTCCGCGGTCGATGTCTCGGGTTCTCAATCGTGTTGATTCTGCTGATGACACTTACATGGTTCAACCTAGAAATTCTACATGTAAGAGTCTGTTCCCTCTATATTGTACTATTTGTTTTTGGCTTAACGAAAAATGGCAACTAGTAACTAATCACGTGATGATCAATTCGATGATAACTTAGCGCGTGAAAAAAATAAAAGGTAAGTAAGCGTGAAACGCGTTATACAATTGTGCAAGTGTAATTGTACGTGTATGGTATGTGTACATTTTCTATCAAACTGAAACATTGGCCAGACTCTTATTTCTAGGGGCTCTAGTTCAATCTATTTCGAAAAATATAGAAAAACGTTGCGCATTCAGATGTAAGGTAACCGCGAATTTAGTTTGAGGGACAGATGGTAAATAGAAAAAGAGTAACTCACGATGCAATCGCGTTTATAAATAAATATTGCATTTTCTGAACCCCCCCAGGAGATTAATTGTTGTATTTACTATACGTATCTACTGAAAAATATTGAACACTTGGAGAATACTGAATCAAGTTTAGAACGTGTCACAATAGGATGTTTCAATTTTTTTCTCTTTTCTTTTTTTTCGAGAACGTATCCTGATTCGTCATACTGAAGGGAGGAGATACCGTAATACGCGTGCATGAGTCATCGTACGCAGCGTATTCAATTGGTGAGTTGAGCATGAGTCAGCGCTGAATTGCGGAGCGACGTAAAGGAGCGAGCGGACACCGTATATTCGCTAATTTATATTATATACCCCCGCGTTATATATCGGCTTCATTTACGGAAGCACGTAGCTGTGCGAGGAACGGCGCCGTTTCGAGGGAACGCCGCGCCGGACAGGCACGGGGCGTTATTAGTTTCGCATAGCTGAACTCGATTTATCCTTTCGCGTCCGCCCGTCGCCGCGGCTTGGCATCCGACAGGTAACGTATTCCCGTCGGTCGTTTCACGTGGCATTTTCTAAACGAGAGACCGTGGATCCGTGTTCTGTTACATGTACCCAGTTTCTCCCTTCCTCATTGGAGTATTTTCCCATTGAAAAGCACGAGAAGGTAAAGAATAAGTTTACGTAATAATATATAATGCAAACAGTACCGCATGGCTGTTGAAGAAAGCACGATTTGTTCTATAAACGGCTGCGTGACTTTTACGTAATACGATGTGTAATGCGTAAAGGTACGTACGCGATACAAAAGTAGAATTTGCCACGTGATATCTGTCACGGTCTCATTGTGTTCCGTCTCATTTTTCGTAATTCGGTGGAAAGATTCGACTGCTCTTCACCGGACGCCAATGTGAAGCAGCCGGAATTACGGAAGCGACGCGAGCGAACGTTGGCCCAAATAGCGTATAATTCGTCCCATAGAATCTAGACCTTATGCACGTAGAACTTAAGAACGAACATTCCTCCGTTCCTCGACAGTGATAAAAGTACGCTTTCGCCTACTTGGCGCGGAAGCGGGATGAACGAACGCCGACGCGACGGCGTTACCAGCCTTCTCCTCGTTCTATGTAACAATGGGACCTCCATGAATCTTCCATCATATATATGACGGGACATGTGATCACCTACTGGAATGGAGGAAGATTGCACCGGCGAAGCTAATTTTACCCTAAGAGAAATGTCCGTAATTCTCGCTGTGTGTTCCAGCGTGAAACACAGATGTCTGATCATCACCTCCCATTAGTATCATATTTAATCACGAGTCCGCAAAGTCTGTTGTGCTTATACCATAAAAGTTTCAACTTTATATCACTTTTTATATCATATATATTAGGTGCGCAACTAAGTTCTCGCTGTTATTTTGATGCATTTTCATCAAAATAACAGCGAGAACTTAGTTGCGCACCTAATATATATGATATAAAAAGTGATATAAAGTTGAAACTTTTATGGTATAAGCACAACAGACTTTGCGGACTCGTGATTAAATATGATACTAATGGGAGGTGATGATCAGACATCTGTGTTTCACGCTGGAACACACAGCGAGAATTACGGACATTTCTCTTAGGGTAAAATTAGCTTCGCCGGTGCAATCTTCCTCCATTCCAGTAGGTGATCACATGTCCCGTCATATATATGATGGAAGATTCATGGAGGTCCCATTTTAATTTTTCTATAATACAAGTTCAAACGACGAATTTTTGAAGAATTATAAAATTGGTATTAGTCTAATAAAGTAAAACTAT